TCATGGAACAATGTACATCTTCTGCTCGACGAGTCTGGCTTTTTCCAGGTAGCCTGACCTCATTTCAATGTAAATCTAGCAAGGGTTACCTTCTCTGCTCCCAACAAGAAAAGGATATATCTGAGCCTGGTGAGGCGGATTTAAGAATGTATCTAAATTTATCTTTCAGCCCATTTTTGTGCCCCGTGCCCCCAGTCCCTTCCTTGCCTCGCTACTCCATCAAGGCACCAACTGCTCTCTCTACCGGCCCCTCCACGTTGGAGTCTCAGACTAGCTGCAGGATTATTGTCTTATTAGTCTTCTCTTCCAAAATAAAAGAGGATGCTGGGAGAGAGCAATGCTTTACCAGGAATAAATTGCAAATATAAACAAGTGCTTCCCGGGTAGAAGAGAGATCTATGAGTGGGAGACTTTCATGTCACCCCCAAGACTGAGCACATTGTGACAGCTGAAGTCTGCTCTGGGATATCCAGAGGGCTCCCCCCCGCCACCAGACAACGTCCAGACAACTACAGCACCAAAAGTAGAACGAACACCGTCTCCACTGAGTTTAGCAATAGAGCACGTTAGTTCCTCTCAATCCTATTTATAAAACCATATTTTACACCGCTGCTCCAATTCAGCACCATCTGCATTTTCTTCCATTAATCACAGTAGAACTCCCCACTGTAGCTTTCATTACCTGCTCAAAATGAATGTGGAGAGAAAACATAATTAGATGCCACTTTTAAAAAATAATATCTTGAAAATAGAGCAATGACTTAAATAAAAAAAAAGGCGGGGGGAAGAACACTATTTGAACTAATGGGCCAAATTACTTCAGGTTAAGCTGGATTTTAAATCAGCTTTTTTTCTTTCTCTTTCTTTCTCTGCCCCCGCCCCTCCAGTGACTCATGACAAATCTCAAGTTCAGCTGGATGGATGATTAGATTTCCTCTTCTCCACTGAAACAATGAAATATTTCTATAATATTAAACCTGTCAAACTGATCAAAGTGTAATGTCAAAATTCCAAGTGCTCCTTCTTGCCCAATCCCCTCAGCTCTGGAAGAACGGAGCACATTTTATTTGCTGGCCCTGAACTTCCTGAGGTTTTTAAAATCTGATACATGCTATCTGATGTGCAATGTTTGCCACATTTCTACCATAGGTGTTTGCCACCATGATACCAGTGGCAGGAATACTCGTGGCCTGCCCCGCCTGCCAAGCACCCACACACACCCTGTCTTTAGCTTCTTCTTCTCACACCAGCCTGAAATCCAGACATTACTAGTATATTATCATACAGACCAGCTGAGCCAGCAAGAAATTCTCCCTAGGGAGAAAGTGTTACTTGCCTTAAAACCCAGGTGCCACCTTACACCTGGCACACTGAATGGCAGAGTACTACTTAAGAGCTGTTTGATCTTTCAAATCCCTCAATGCCTCAGAGCCTCAGTTTCTTCTTCTGTAAAATGAGAGTAATTCAATAATGCCCGCTCACCTGTGGCACAAGGCTATAGAGCAGATGAAGATAAAGTGACTTTTAGAGAAGCCCATATCCATGCCAATATGAGGTCAATTAATATTATTATGAGTATCATCCAATGCTTTGAGGGTAGCTCACACTGGTGGAAGTCTCACATAGTAAGCAGTAACATGGCGCAGTGGGAAGTGTTCAACTTTGGAGCCGCACCAGCCTGCATTAGAGTTCCGTTCTTCTACTTCCTAGCTGTGTGGCCTTGAACAACTTGTTCGCTCTTTCAGAAACACAGTTCCTTCGTTTATACAAGGGAGATAATACAATACTCTCCTTTCGAGATTGCTGAGGTGTTATACGAATTAAATAGAGATATATTTAAGCACCTGGAACACAGTAGGCACTTAATAAATGATAACTGTATTGCTGAGGGTGCTTTGTTTACTAGACATTGTCTGGAAGAATAAAGACACAAAATGTTCCTCTGCCTTTAAGGAGTTTCTTAGATCAGGCCTGGAGGGCTTTGTATTTTTTCTTTTTTCATAAACTTTTTTTTCAAGGTAACTGCCTCAGTAAACATCTTTTGGGGTTTTATTTTTTTTAATACTTTGCTTTGGCCTTCTATTCTTAAAATCTGCTAGGGTTAAAACAGGAAAGGACATTTCTGGGAAGGGATGGAGGGAAGGAGCCAAAAATGGGTTGGGTAAGGTGACTTCATTTCTTAACTAATGAGAAACAAGCTCAAGATTTACAGATTAAGTGCTATTAATTACCACTCAACAAATATTGAACCACAATGCTGCACTCCTAGAAAAACCAGGAAACTCAGCCTGAATACTAAAGGGCTCCATTTAGTGCTCTGTATAAACTCTGTCGTACACTCACGTGGCCCTGAAGACACCAACACGCCAGGGGGCTGTGGCCTGGCCTCCTCTGGGAGGTCCTTTTCCATCTGTGGTCCATGTCTGGGACTCTCTGGGCAAGGAGGGCAAGAGTGAGCTCCTTTCCTGAAGAGAAGGCAGGGGACCAGAGCAGGTGAGGGTGGGGCAGGTGAGAGGGGCACTGTTGGAGGCTTCTCACCTTGGATATAGGTCTGGTTTTGTTCCTGCACTTAGCTGTTGGCCTAGCACACTTTGTAACTAGAACACCAGAAGCCTTAGGTATGCTAGTGTATTTAAACCATCCTTTCCCCAACTGACATTCTGCATACAAAGTCTCCTCTAGTTCTCCATGTCCCAAAACCCCCTCGCCTGCTGGAGGATTCTGAGATGGGGAAGAAGCTAGCATACGCTGACGAGTCCCACGTGTCGTCACCGTGCTACGAGTTCTTATTAGTCATCTCACTCCATCCACCACTGGTTAGACTGCTCTTACTATACTGGGAGAAAAAGTGAGACTTCAAGATGCTGAGAATTTGCCCAGGTCCTTTGCCAGGTCCACATGTGACACAGAGGCCCCTGCTTTCTCCATTCCCCTAGGCCCCCAGGAGCATGGGGGCTGCTTGGGCAGTAATGCACAAAGATGGATTATAAGTCTGCTGCAGGGGCTGCTCACACCCTGCTCCACCTTCACCTTACCCTCTACGGCAGGAGCTGAAAGCAGTCAGCACACACTCTGCCCCAAAGGTGTCCTGCTTCCCTCCCGCTCCTGGGCCCCAGCCCAATGTGCTGACAGCCACTGCTGTCTCTAAAGCCAGCCCCCAATCAGGAGGACACGCTCTTTCTCTCCTTGGCAAGCACACCCCAACTCAGCACACCCTCATCCAGATTCTACCGAATTTGCATTAGAAAATTGCCAGACAGAGCAAAGTGAAAAACCTACTACTTGAGAAAACTTTAGCCTTTTTTTCTGAAATCTAAATAAGGGCACTGCTCCTGAGGATAATGGTTTCTGATGTGACAAATCGCTCATTCCCTAGATAACCTGGCAGTGCCTTTCCTACCATGCCCTGTGACAGCAGAGGAGGACACACTCCTTGAGTTCTTTCTCCTGGATAGTCCTAGAAAGACTGGAGGAAGTATGGTGGTCCCCATGGGCCTCTGTGCCAGTGAAATAAGCATGACCTTTAACCCTACCTCCAACCCGATTTTGTCGTCTGTAAAATCAGGAGATTGGTCTAGACCAGTGATCTTCAACTTCAGCACTACTGACGTTTCAGATAGGATAACCCGTCGTTGTGAGGACCGAACTGTAGGGCGTTGGGTGACATCCAGCCCTCCACCAACTGGATGCCAGTAGTATGAGACCCATCCCTCCACCTAGTCGTGACAACCAAAAATATCTTTAGACATTGTTCAAATGTCCCCTGGGGACAAAATGGCCCATAGTCAAAAACCACTGGCCTAGCTGATCTCAGACAGTCCTTCCAACTCTCAGGTTCTCTGTTTAGAAGGTGATAAGAAGTCTATGGCCATGTCACCCTGAACAAGCCCAATCCCATCCGATCTCAGAAGCTAAGCAGGGTCGGGCCCGGTTAGTACTTGGATGGGTGACCACCTAAGAAGACCAGGTGCCGTAGGCGTAAAAAATAAAAATAAATAAATTAATAAAATAATAAAAAAATAAAAGAAGGAGATAACACTAAAAAGAGCTTGAGTTGAGCTGGTTGGCTAGAGGTGACCACTAGTCACATCTTCGCTCAA